CCGGCCCAGCCTCACAAGCCCGAGTTGGAGGCCTCCGTGATCTCCGACCAGGACGAATCCCGGCGGGAAGACGGCGGCTGCCGCGAGGGCCCGGCCCGGCCGGGGTGGCCCAGGCGCAGCAGAAGCGTCCACATCCGCTCTCGGAACTTGACACCCACGAAGGCGTAGAGCAGCGGGTTGAGGCAGCAGTGCATGTAGCCCAGGCCAGAGGTGACCGACTTGGCTACGTCCACGCGACTTTCCCGGCTGCAGTTGCGGCTCCAGGCCCCCAGGTCCATGAGGGTGTCCACGAGCACCACCAGGTGGTAGGGGGTCCAGCAGAGGGCAAACGCCACCACGACCACCACCACCAGCCTCATGGCTCGCAGCCGCCGCTGGCCCCTGGAGACCAGCAGCACGGACAGGATGCGGGCATAGCAGTAGGCCATGACGAGCAGGGGCAGCAAGAAGCCGGCCAACAGCTGCAGGAGGCGCAGGGCCCTGTGGCCCGCCTGAGGGAAGACATACTGGCAATGGGTGGCGTTGAGGCGCTCGTCGCGGTGGGCCGACAGGAAGATGAAGTCGGGGAGGGCGAGGAGCAGACACAGCCCCCAGACTGCGACGCACGTGAAGGTCACGCGGGTGGGAGGCCCGCGGCGGTAGAGCTGCATGGCGTGAACGATGCTCAGGTAGCGGTCGAAGCTGATGCAGGCCAGCAGGAGGGCCCCGGCGTAGAAGTTGACATTGAACAGGGCGCCGGCCACTTTGCAGAGCTCGGAGCCGAACACCCACTGGAGCGCGGCGTCCACGGCCCAGAGCGGGAGGGTCAGCACCAGCAGCATGTCCGCCACGGCCAGGTGGAGCAGGAAGGTGTCGGTGCTGCTCAGGGCCGCCCGCTGGCTCAGCAGCACCGCGGCCACGGCGCCATTGCCCAGCAGCCCCAGCACGAAGAGCAGGCTGTAGAGGGCTGGCATGAAGGCCCGGTCAAAGTTCAGGCTGAAGTCCTGGGGGCAAGGCTGCGACTCACAGCAGGAGTCGGTGTCATTCTCGCTGCCATAGTCATAGGAAGGGCTCAAGCTTGCTAGGGAAGCGAGCTCCAAGGCTGAGAACTCGTGGCGCCCACTGATCTGTGGAGGGAGGGAGGAAGGGGGGCCTGGGGTTTAGTCTCCTGAGCTGCACCTCCCCAGCAGCTCCTGGGTTGGGCTGTATCCCGTGACTGTCCCTGCCCTCTGCCCAGGCCACGCCTCCTGGACTCCTGCCCAGCCTCACTGGGCTGTAATTTTCCTTCTCAAAGGCCCATTCTCTCTGACCCCTTCGGGGCAGTCCCACTGGCCCAGGATCTGGGCTCGCAGGAAGGGTTCCCTCCTGGGCCAAGAGCCCTCCTTGCCCGCCTCGCCCCCTCCCCTTGCTCTTCCTTCAAGGCCTGCCGCTCTCGGTGTCCCCGCCACGCCTTGTTCTACCACCTTCCTCCCTAGACACCACTCCCCCAGCCCCTCCCTGTCTCTGGCCCTCCTCTTCCCTCCTCAGCCCTCGTCTGAGGACCCCAACTTCCTGCTCCCCATGGGGCCCCTCTAGCAGTCACTGTGCCCCCCCCACCCCAGTGCATGCTTGTGGCCCTGCTCGTCCCCTCCCTTCACCGAGGCCTGCCACCCACCGCGGCCTCCCGCAAGCTC